CAAGAAACAAATGGCATCAGAAATTAGATTTACAAGCTGTTGATTAAGGCTCACTTTGGAAAAGCGCATAAACTGCAACGTTTGAAATTTCGGAAGTCTAATTATTATGGCTCCGACTCATATAACATACTGCGATCTTTCTTTGTGATTAACAAAACAGCGCTGATTGTTATTTCTTTAAATATTTAGTAATTTAAATGAAAAAAAATTTGACCAAAATCTATCGCTGATCCATATTTGGCGATTTTAAATTCTTGGATGGTCCACAATCAATGTAAGCAGGACGGAACACTGTGCGCACTTGCTCTGTTAGCCGTTGCTGTTGTGATGAGTCCGGAACTGGCGAGCTACGTGAACCGCGATCAAATTTTCCTCCTTCGCCTCTCACACGTGTTAATGCATGTTTATGTCTGGATTCGTGGAGATATTTCTGAAAATGACACATTTACAACTTCACACAAAACTGTCAACGAATATTCATAACTTCCACAGCATTAAACATTTACAAATAACAAAAACATACATGAAAATGCATTACTACTCACCCGCCGCTCCTTAGGAATTCTTCCCTCACTTTCCAATTTTGCTCGAGCTGCTCTTCTTTTCAAAATTCTGTAAAGTGTTTATGCATAATGAAATAACTGATGACTGAAAAAAAACAACACATAAATCAATTAGAAAGAAAGACTCACCTGTTATACTGTTTGGCGTTAACATAAAGCGGCTCTTCATCTGGTTTAACAACAAGAGGACCATTCGATGCCCCCTACAAGAGACAATTTAATAAATAAGTTAAGAAATCTACCAAGCTAAAAAATACATGGGACAATATTGAATACCTCCGTTTTGTACACCAACAGCTTTAAAAAAAATCAACCTGTGTAGTTAGAAGCTGAACCACATTTGAAATATCAATTCCTTTAGCATCTGAAAGTGCAGCAGTACGAAAACGACTGTAAACTAATTTAATTTTGCTTTCGTTAGCAGATGAATGATAAAACTTGCCTATTCTTCAATGAAATACATTTCATCACAGTAACACAACTGTATACTAATATGACGGTAACACGACTATATACCACTAATAACCAAAACCCTTCTAGAAAATGTCAATGATAACTGTCTCGAGTCAATCCTTCTGATCCATTTACTGATTAGATTAAAGCACAGACAGTGGATCAAGATGGAATTAAAGCTTTTAGAAAATTTATTATGATCTGATAATGAATAAATATAAATTAGTATTACACAGTACTGGAAAAGATAAGAACTCTGACAGAGAAGACAAAGGCGTAAAAATGAAAGATTATTTAAATCACTTCAATGCTTCTAAGTGAATAAAATCAAATGAAATACCTGTAAAAAGAAATGGCGAGCTTACGATGGGTGAGGAAGTTGAAGGCTGCTGATTTTGCTCGCTAACAGATATCGATGGTGAACTGGGTACAGTGATATATGATGCAACATCATTCAAACTGATCACTTGAACATTACTAGGCAATACCTGAATGATAACTATTGCAAGATGTAGTGCACTTTTGCAGCATATTTTTCCAAGCACAATTAGTTATCTGATAAAGTGAGAAAGTAATATAATCAGAAAATTAAAAAAACGAAAACGACCACCAGGAAATCATTGCCACTAAAACCGTAAAAAAGACATGAAAGCATCATGCCAACATTGTGATATAAAAAAATAATCAGAGCGCACATAAAGATGTCTTTGACTAATTAGTTACATAATTACTGCCTTCTTAAAGAGTTAATCAAAACGCAACAACAACCACCTGTAGAGAATTCCCATTGAGCTGAAATGTTTGCTGTGCATTTGGTACCAATATATACGACTTCTGATCATTACCATTTACTGCAGTATCCAGATCAGTAGCCAAATTAACCACTTGTACCTGACATGGCTGATACTGAAACAACAACTATCGTTCTTACGAACAAATTTTGCCAAAAAACCATTGATTCATAGTAAGTGATATCATAAAAATATATCGTGGTTACCACAATCAACATGAATTTACACCAAAAAGAAGAGAATGCAATGCAAAAGCCTAAATCTGGATTACTCCATCATTGCTCTTTACAAGATAGTAAAAGGATAGAAGAACTTGAAGCGTTAGAATATTTCGATCAAACCTGAGGAAATGACGAGGTTGACGTAGGTTGACTATCACTTGCAACAACATACTGTTGTGTTGACGTGCTGTCGTCGTTCCTGAAGTGAAATTATTTAAGCATAACCAAGTAAACTACTGTCCTAAAATGTTTATGGTAGAGAATATAGTGCTGTATGTACTAACAGGATTTACTGATAAAAAAGGGCGATATAAGAATAAACAACATAAGAAAATTAAAAATCGTGCTAAACACTTAAAAGGAGCAATGATCTTGAGGAATTCAATGGGAATTCCGACATTCTGAATGAATCATTTTTTGGTATAATAACAGGAATAAAATTTTTCATTCCTCCCCGTTCCCGCGGAGGAAACCCACCAAAGCCCGAAAATAGCATCTATGAGCTCCCGCCTACTAATCCGCGTTCCACTTACATCTCATTGGCGGACGATGCATTGCAAGTTGGCTGATTGGCCGGCACCATTCGGGCAGTCCAATCACAATCGATTACCTCCTAAACAAATACAACGCGACACGCCCGACAACCTTTTTAACGCTCGCTCTTATCGTTTCAGACCAACTACACTTTTTGATCTTATCACATCCCATCCCATAAGAAATGATATTTCAATCGTAATGTTTCCAAATATGCCGGTATGAGAAGTTAAATACTTGGATAGTCTGATGGATGTATCCGAACCGAATGATTGTGAGCTATTTTTTTAGCAAATGCAAAATGCTTGCACACTTCCCACAAATCTCAGAAATTTCGCATCCCGAAGACAATCTCTCTGTTTCACAAACCGTTCGGATATTAAAAAGGTACATTTTTGAAGTGCCCAAAGTTTACTTAATCGTACGTCTTGCTTCCAACTTTTATTCTGGATGCAAGCTAACAGAGAATCACTTCTCAAGGATTTTCACTACGTTTACATCGTCCTTCCATCTAAAACTTCAACAAAGGAACGGAAATCTTCCAACTTCATTCTTTGAATTCCTCACTTTAAATACAAATCCTTTCAACTCTGGCACGAAATTTATCTATTAGAAACAGATACTCGACAACAACGGCTAGAATCTCAATTTCTATATTTGCACATGCCACGGAGAGGTTCAACACCTGTTCTCCATACCCTTTTCCTTGATGTTTTTATTATTCATTACTACGAAACAGATGGTTTTTCAATTTTGCTTGAAAGAACACAAGTAACAATACATAGAGAACACATACAGAGGGACAAAACGCAAAAGCAAAAATGACCAAATGAAATATTACGAGGATATCACGTACCATAATACAATGAAATGCCACTCCTTATGCACTGACACATTTTTAAGATACTCTTCCCTCACTATTTCACACGAAAAATGGATAATGTATTGCGGATACAATATTCGGACTTCCATATTTTAAATTTTATAAAAAGACTAGCTCGCATTTTAACATACCTATCCACTCACCTGCATTACATAGACTTAATACAGCATAGAAAAATATGGAAGCTCTGCAAACCAATAAGATACAGACGAATGACGACACATACAAAAAGCGTACATATCACCACAGTTTTTCAGGATTTGCCAATTGCTTCAACTATACAGAAACATACGTAGTATGTGCTTTTCTGCACTTATTTTGCACATCCAGTATTAAATAAAAAAAAGCCTGGGAAAACGCGTGAAATGATGATGACACGTTGAGATCTACAAAGCAATTCAGTGTCAACACTCAAGAATAACAAAATCATATATTGCCGTATACCATCTAATGTATGAACTTCCAACATTTTAAAAATTGGGTATGAACCTTCAAAAACTCATCATTTGATCCATTTTTTCAATTGCAACATTTTAGAAACTAAAGTCGATCGAGGCTGTAAATATTACGAATTTATTGGGAAATGGCATTGTTGAAAATCGAAAGAGCAGGCAAAAAGACGAATCACTTGGATTTCACAAAATATATGCTTGGATAATTTGGTAACTTATGACGAAACTAGAAGCGAGATTAACACAAATAATCTGTTTTTGTGCAGTTTATACCCGCCAATCAGAAACTCTTATTCCGCGTCTAATTTCTAGTTCATTTTCTTTAGACAACTATTATAGATTTAGAAAAATACCTGAGTAAAATAAACCGTTTATAATTACAACCATATTAAAACAGTTACTTGATGAAATAAATCCGTGAAGAATATTATAATCTCAGTATGTTTCTTCGTAAGTATTCATTCAACCAAATTTTCCATGACCATGAAAAATACAATAAAGCAAGGAGTCACCCTATTAACTGAAAGTTCAAGAAGCTAGACAACGGTTCAGTAATGCTGCCATCGAAATGCAGACTGCAAATGGAAAGTCACCATCCAGCAAAAGTTGGGGGTGTGGTTGGAGTACTCACTCCGTTAGCACCAGTATACGCCATGCTTGAATAACCGCCTCCCATCTGACCGCCTGACGAACCGGCGAGACGCCGTTCATCTCCTGGCGTCATTTCAGTAGTTCCCTGAAACTATGAGCATAAATTACAGCAGAGAAGCCAGCCAAAAAAAAAAAAATTTGGATATAACAGAAAAAGGGTACAATACTTGCAAGGATATGAACAGTGACTATCGCAGGAAAATGAAAAGATTATCCACTTAAGCCTTTAGCAAATACCAGGAAAGTTTCTTTTATGAAATTATTGTAGCGATGTACGAAACAAGATGAAATAGAGCTGTGTTTTGTTTTAAAGTGAAGAACAAAAGCCAGCACCACAAGACTTAAATTTTTCAGTTCAGGCATTCTTCAATAACAAATACAAGGTGCGCACATCCAAGAGAAAACTCACATCACAATATTCCCAGATCTCAAAGCAAAGAATGTGGAATTTTCGCTTCCCTTTCCTACAGTGTTCAGTTCATGCTACTTTTTTGTGCATAACCAAGTGGCACGCCACTAAACCACAACATCATAATATCGATGCACTGAACAACAAAACATTCCAGTGATCTTGCTTTTATAGGCACCGGAAGTGAGTGTACGAGGCACTCTTAAGAAAAAACCGCAGCATTTACTTCAAAGAAAAAACCTGGAAACGTTTTAGTACTGACCGGTCGCGTCGGATTTGAATGCTGCAAAAAAAACAAACCATGAATTGGATTTCAATGAATCGCTACATGCTCAAAATGACTTCAGGTTTGTGTTTAGAAAAAGGCAAAACAATCCCATTTTATTGGCAAATAACAGTCCTCTAAACTCTAATATTCATCTATTCTTAATATATGTCTAGTTATAATGTTAGAAGAATTAAGTCACGCCATTGACAAACGACAAGAGAGAATTAGTGTTCATTTTGCTTTAATTTTGTTTAATATAGTGGCAAACAATAATACAAACCTGTGTATACTGCTGGTACTGTGGATGGAAGTTATGGATTGCATCCTGCATAATATCTTTAGGATTCATTGTTTCTTTCAGTGAGCTGCTAATACTTTGTAGCGTGACCGGTCGCCCGCCAACACTCCCGTTCATCCCTGAAAGTATACACATTCATAATTTCTGACTTTGGTGGTCTTGACCATCTTTAGGTAAATGAAAAAACATCAAAAGCAAGGATACCACTCAAGCTGACTAAAAATTTGTAAAAGTCTACATCAGCTGATAATAAATCCGAAGAGATGGATGAAACCTGTGCTGGGGTCGATGTATGCACTAATGCTAAAAGCATATTTTAAGGCCACCGCTGCAAAGAACATTTCAAGACAAATAAATAAGTTCTGCCACGCCGCAGCAATGGTACCACGAGATATAACTTCATGACCTTCTGCATCGTAAACTGGATCGATGGCTGAAGTGGAACCAAGAACAGCAAGCAAGAAACCTAAAAATCCACTGTAATGTGAGAAGAAATATCGAACTAGATTCTTTCAACAACTTCCTAAGTATCAAATTGTACGATGTTCACAGTTACAAGATATATAAAAATAGCGCATCTGAAACGGTTAAAGACCGCATATAATCTAGTAGTAGAATAAATCCGCTATGACTTATATGGTCATATGTTCCTTGTTGTATATTCATATGAATAAAAGCACATTGCAATATTTGTTAATCAATACGTTGTAATAAAACCGTTGCAACGTAATATAAAAATCCCCTTGATCACCATCGAAAAGTACAAACAAAAAGCACCATTCTCCACAAACAAAAGGCACCATTCTCTCTTACCTTCACGCCTTTGATCATTCCTATGAACTATTCCGAACAATATAATTAAAAAAATAGTGCAATTAACCTTGCCAAAAAGAGAGGAAAATAACTGATTTGACGGTGAGAAACTTTAAAACAGGTTGATATGGTGAGAGCAAGTCACGTGTAGCTGTATAGAATAAAAACAACCCATAAAGTGCCAAAGAGATCGAGACGTTGTACACAATAGTTATATAAAGATAGCCTTGATCACCACTGAAAACACGAGATTATTTTTCAACACCGAAAATGACTCAGGAAAAAAAGACCAATGATCATTGGACAAGTCAGAAGCATAATCTAATTCCTTATTTTGACTGCACCTGTCGTTGGACTATTACTGTAAAGAAAGCAACTCACTTCCAATTTCCATCTTCGTATTTCCCCATCATCATTAGAATAACGGTAAGTGTGGCCATAATTGGCTTGATAATACAAAATTGAAGTGTCGCCTGCTTACAAAAACGCAAGAACTCAATTGTATATTGTTTTCCTGCTAAACAACATGTACATGTGTAGTAAGTGATTGGCCTGAAACTCATTACCTCGTTCTAGTAAAACGAAAGTTCCATTTCATGCAGCAATTCTCAATCAATTTAGAATTGTGGTCCATCGTCACAAGATTCGTTAAATGATCAAGAATAATGTATTCTAAGCCTCATTTTATGTTCCACCACTTTAAAATGTGAACACCTAGGTACTGCACTCTTTTTTAACTGTTGCAACGATTAAAAAGGCAAAGAAATCAAAATAAAATCACAAGAGAGTACATGGTTCGTTCACATGAATTTTTGTTGTTTTTTTTTTTAAATCTAACTACAACTTTTAAACTTTTGCAACATAAAAAACAGAATACTAACCGAATCGGTTTTCCTCTAATTTCTGCCATTATATTACTTTCACCACCAAGATATTCATAGCATAAACTCAAGAAACTGTATATAACGAAAGCTGAAAATGCATCAACCTAATTTGCTATTCAGTTTTATATCCTCAATAGTTCGAACCTCTGAAAAGCAAACATCGAATGAGATTGTTACCTTCATAACAATCGCGAATGGCATTGAAGTAGACATACACATTGTTAGAAAGAAAAAGTAGACTCAGCCACGAATCTAATGAATACATAGGTACAATAAATAAAATACGCACAATCCATCGCTGTTCGACGGGGCAAGTATACCATCGCAAATGTTGATAGATCTGAAAAATCCCTTTTTTCACCATTTCTTTAACGAAAATATTTTCGCACAAATCATAGAAGATATTCCCTTCCCTATATTTATTGGGGAAAAGTGAAATATTTCAAGCTATAGTATTAACAATGCCTTCAGCGATTCTACGTACATAAAATTTTGCAAAAATCTGCCGCAATTTATAAAGATTAGAAGAATATCATGATCACCAACATTTTGTAATTATTTAATAAAAGATGTATGTCTAATTAACATTTTAAAACAAATTATTACCTGATAAGAAGTAATTAGAAGAGCTGTCCAAGTAAAGAATCCAGTGATGCCACGTACAAACGTGGAACGAAGGAACATACCATCTGTCGCTGTTACATTCGTCATTTTTGTCTGAAAAAAAAAAGGCTGGTTTGCAAAGATGGTGACAAAATGGAATATATGTTGTATAATACTGAAAAGAAACAATGACGATTTAACTGCAGTACCTTCTAAACCAGTTGTATGTGGTGCAAAAAAGTCCCAACACCAACTTTTTAAAGTACTTTTTAATTTTTTTAATGTCTCTCGAAGCTAACAACTACACTAGTTTATGCAAGTTCCTTTTTTCAAGTGATCTGAACGATGAACTGACGTCCCAGGAAATGAAAAAGAACGTACAGGTAGGAAGCCAATAGTCGGCTGGTGGGAAGCACAGCATAAAATTCTGCTACCAATTTGTTTAAGCTGAGAGAAGAGAGAACATCAAGTACGTGATGTACCACAGCAGAGGAGAGAAGCGAATGTGCTGCAATAGTGTGCTAAGCGAAAGACTAATAAATATATGCCTTAACCGGGGAAACGTTTACCGTACGTATCGAACCCTAACAGTCATATCTCTTCATTCTTTCGCTCATGTACCACTACAAATAACAGTGTAATCAACGAGTTGACGGAATGGAAGAGTATGACAGCTGTTCACGTAGAGGCTTATTATAAGTATCATTAAATGCTGCTGCGTATGGGGTTACCATTGACAGAGACATACTTCATTAGACAGTACCCTTAACGTGGAAGGAGTTACCTGATGTAATATGGAACTAAAATTCAAAATGTATTTCAACCAAGTTTTTATAACTAAGATTACGAAAGACTTCTAACCTTAGTTCATCTCTTCTTAAAGGCTCTTCTTCAAGCCTACTCAAAAATTACCTCGAAAGAAGTCTACAAAGGTCCAATCAAACTGCGTCGGTAAATCAAAGGAGAGTGTCGGATGAAAAAAAAAATTCAGAGGAATGCATTAGAACTAGTTTACGAACCATTCTTTCATCTTATTTAGCCTAACAATGAAAAGTTGTGGTACTCGCGCACTGTGCCAATGCTGACTGTGACAACAGCCGGGACATAGAAAAAGGGAAGATGTTGTTTGTCTCCTTACGGTCACATTCATGTATAACTCATTCCATTTATTCATTACACACACACACACACACATCCATTCCTTATATAAGGAAACACTGATGCAAGTACTTCTTCACGATCAATCCATGAAAACCCGTAGTAGCAGTCTGTCCTTTTTTTTCAAAATACAACAAGAAACTAAATATGCGCGTACAACCCTGTGCAGACATTCACATTGGGTGGCATTCTCCCGTGGCCAAAATATGTAACATCGCGCTTGCCTTTTGCGAACCCTTGGCATTCCTCTTTCCTCCTTTCAAAGTTCATCGATATCTTAAGTTGCCTGAGCGTATACAGCACATCGATACAATTGCGCTCTATGTATATACCTCAGCACCCCTTTGGACTACGGCCGTTAGTATGACATATAGTGAAGTCCCACACACGTGTGCCTACCAGATAGGCAATTGGACGGAAGTGCCGCAGATCAATTAGTGCCATAGCGATGCAAAAGAGCCCACGAGTCACCACCTCCCAATCAATGATAATCCACGCCCGCCCCCTCATCCGCTCAGCTGTCTTCAGTCGTGCATACTATGTTACGACATTTGAGCAGAATTGTTAGACTACTTTGATGGATACGCTGCGAAAACTATTTCTTGACCGCGAATATTAAAATTTCGAATGATTTTCATTATTCCCTATCTCCTGGATTACACTGATATTCAACAGCTGGGATGCATCGATTATATCGGTTGCTTATCGCATGGATGAATGTCTTCCAAATGTGAACGCAATAAAGTGTATATGACACAAATTCAACGAAATCTATATTTCACAAGTTAAAACAAACCGATCAGCTTAATCAATTAATAGTACACCCCAGAATTTTTTTTAGTCACTGTGTCGATACAAGCCTATCACAGACGCACTTGATTGTCGTGCTATACTTGACAGCCGGTTTGTTTATGAATGTCATAATTTGACAAACGGTTTGTATATAAATACTTATGAATATGTCATAATTTGACAAACGGTTCTGTATATGAATACTTATGAATATGTCGGTTTCTCTGAACTTTTTTCTCTAAGCTCGACCATGATCTTGACAAATGGCGCCGAATGTACTTTGCGCATCTTCGGTTCTTCATTGTATCAATTGACCTCTTCCGCTCTCACTGGTCCCTTCATCAACACTTCATCCTAACTAATCGTATTATCATCTAGGTAGGTTATTCGTATACTTAAAGCTTCTGTAGATACATGCCTTTCTGCCTGTGAAAAAATATATTTCAATCAGATTTCAATTATGTTTAGTGGTTTAGTGCTATTTACGGTTGATACCTTTCCTTTTCATTTGATTTTGAAAAACATGTGGATATCGGGATATAATGTTGATATTGTGTCAGAACAGGAACTGATTAACTTCTCACCTTCATTGCAGATTCAGTAAAATGGATGGAGAACAGATCTGCAGCTCGGACGAATCATTAAAATCAGTACGTTATTGTATCTATATTAACATTACTGTTATTATTATTAGTAGTGGTAGTACAATATATCTTATTATTATCAATGCTGTT